TGAGAAATTTAACTGTACTGTATACTTAAAAAGTACCAATAAACTCAATGAAAAATAAATCAACATAGTGAAAATGGCCATACTTCCAAAACCGCTATATAGATTTAATGCAATCCCAATTCAAATCCCAAATGTGAAGCATACTTCACATACCTTCAGAAAACAATTCAAAATTTGGAAAAAGAAGAAACCTAGAATAGCAAAAGTAAATATGGGCAATAAAGACAAGGTATAACAATCCCCAATCTCAAACTATACTACAAAGCTACTGTGATAAAAACAGCATGGTACTTGCAAAGAAACAAACTGAGGACAAGTGGAACAGATTAGAAGATGCAAAAACAACCCCAGACACACTCAGCCGCCTCATCTTTGACAAAGGAGCCAAACACCCTCAATGGAGGAAAGATAGCCTCTTTAATAAACAGTGCTGGAAAAACTGGGTTTCAACTTGCCAAATATTAAAACTAGACCTATATCTCTCACCATGCACTAAACTTAAATCAAAATGAATTAATGAGCTAAATATTAAAACAGAAATACTAAATAGGCTCAAAGAGAGGCTAGGTAGAACTCTTGAAGACATTTGTGTAGGAAAACATTTTTATAGACAAAACTTCAGTTGCCGGTGAACTATCACAAATAACTAACAACTGGGATCTCATCTCATTAAAAAGCTTCTGAACAGCAAGAGAAACAACCAATAGTGTGAAGAGAGAGCCCACAATGTGGGGAAAATTTTTCACTAGTTCTTCCTCAGACAAGGTCCACTATATAAAGAACTTAAAAAAAAAAAAAACAGATCTCCCAAATTTAAGGACCCATTCAAAAATGGGCATATGAAATGAACAGATATTTCTCAAACAATGAAGTAGAAATAGCAAATAAACATGAAAAAATGTTCAACATCACTGGTCATTCAAGAGATGCAAATGAAAACAACACTGAGATTTCACCTCACCTCAGGAAGAATGGCTACTAACAAGAAATCAACAAATAACAAATGTTGGCAGGGTTACAGGGTTATGCTCCACTGCTGGTGAGAGTGTAGACCAGTGCAACCACTATGGAAATCAGACAGCTCAAAGAACTAGGACTGGATGTCCCATTTGACCCAGCTATCCTCCTGCTGGGTATCTTCCCCAAATAATTTAAAGAATCACACCACAGTGATATATGTGCACCCATGTTCATAGTAGAACAATATGTGAGAGCTAAAACTTGTAAACAGCCCAAATGCCCATCAAAAGGAGACTGGATAAAGATAATGTGGGTTTTTTTTTTTTTAATAAAATGGAGCACTACTCAGCCATAAAGAATGAGAAACTAGAGACGTTTATAGCTAAATGGACGCACACTGAGGTGATACTCTTAGGTGAAATAGAGGAGACATATGTGTAAATACCGAATGGTTTCTCTAGTGTGAGAAACAGTGTAAGTAAGGATTAAAAGGTATAATAGATGTGAAATACGAAGAAAAGGTGCAAAGGGGAAGGGAAAGTAGAAGGAATAGGGGAAAAGACAGAAATGGAATTAACATGAGAAAAAAATGGAAACAAAGTCTTTGTAGACAGGGAGGGGTGGAGGGCTTGAAGGGAGAGTAGGGGAATGGGAAAAAAAAAGTCCAAGATGGATTATGTAAAGGTGCAAATTTCCAGCCAGTCGTGGGGGCGCATGCCTGTAATCCCAGCACTCGGGAGGCTGAGGCAGAAGGATCACTGTGAGTTTGAGAGCAGCCTGGGCTACATAGTGAGTTCCAGGTCAGTCTCAACTACATAGTGTCTAAAAAATCCAAAAAAAAAAAAAAGATTGAGTCAAAGAAACAATTCCTCTGTACTTTTCAATCAGTGCTTTCCTTCCAAGATCTGAAATCCAGCCAGTCATGATTCTCTCCACCTAGCTTTAGGACCTATGGCCTTTTGAGCTGCCATTGCTGCACTGTACGGCCCTCTGTCTATTCACCCCAAACTATGGTTACCATCGAACAAGTCCTTGCTCATGTTGGTAAATGGGAAATGTAATCAGCCCTCTGCTCTGCTAGATGCAGGCCATGGGGCAGAGGTTCAAGTGGACTTTTGGACTTAATGTTGATACTCACAGCACTTGGTTGCTCCAATGGAGGGCAAGGCGGATGTTCCTCCCAACCCAACCTTATACTTTTCAAGGGGGCCTATGTCTGCCCTCCTCTCTCTCTCCACAGTGCTCTCCTATGGTTGGCTCTCACCCAGTCACTTTAAAAGGGTAACACTGAGTCCCTAAAGTTGCTGGCCAGGTCAGTACTTTCACCCTGAGTCTCCTGGCTTTCCAGGCTCATTTTCTCTCCCTAGGCATTTTCTTCATCTAGTATTAGATAGGTTGGTTAGTCCACACTTCTGTTGTCCATGCCTTGCAAAGTGCTAGAATTACAGGCATGCACAAGCACACCTGGACACTTTTTTCTTTCTTAGTGGCACATAAAAATATTAAAAATTAATCTTATAATCAAACTAGCTTTAGTTTGATAAGCTGTGATACACAGGTCATGGTTTCATTAGTACATTCATCAAGCATTTATTGAGTGGATGAGACACATTACTAAATGTCAGTGAGTACACAAAAAACAATAAATAACTCAATCCAATGTTTTCTACTGAACATCTGTTATGTGTGGCACAGGGGATGCCATAAGCAGACAGCAAAGAGGCTAGAGCCAAACAGGCCAGTGGTCCATCACTTACAGGCAACTTTTTATTAGTTCTGTAAACTAATTCTCAAGATGGACAGGCTTCCTCACAAAACTGATATAAGGATCAGTAGCTATAGTTAGCATTAGCACATAAAGAGTGAACTATCAAATAGAAAAGATGAGAAAATTAGCATATAACTAACATGAGACTGTAGCAAATGCCACAGACAGAGAAAAAAAAAAACTCTTGGGATTATCTCTGTATAGATTATCCATGAAAATGGCCAACAGGGAGCAGAGATAATCCTCAAATGTAGATTCACAGATAATTTTTTCAATCTTCCTATCCATCAACCATAAATTCTACGAATAGTTGGTAGCTTCTGAATCAGGCACTGAAGATACAATGATGAAAGGAAGGAAATAGGATCAGCATGGAAAGAACTTATGAGGCCATGTTTTATCTTAAAAACCAAAGATATTTACCTTACTATACTTTTAAGTATACAAACTAAAAGGCAGAATTTCCCTATTTCTTTGCTTTGGAAATGTATGATACAGTACCATAAAAATAGAGGAGCTTACACATGTTTATTAGCTTTGAACACAATTCTTTCCATTCCAATCATGTCAAAATGTTTTCTAAGTGCTACATGAAATGCACTATACTCTTTCTTCAAAGTATCTCTAAAAATTCTATGTCCTTAAAAATATCAGCTATGAAACACTATAAAATCTGTTTCTTACTTTCCATTACGGCATACTAAAACTTGAGAATCTTATTATCAACGTTCATGACTAGTTTACATTTATTTACTACAGGCGTTTTATATCTTTCCATATTTGTGTCTCTTCTAAATATAGTTCCTCCCTTTCCCTTTATTGTTTTTGCTTTTTGCTTTAGATTATCTACTATATATACCTACAAATTTTATCAGAATAAAAAGGTAAGACATTGGCTACAAGTGAACCCTTTTATTAAGAGATAAGATTCTGGGCTAAGAATGTACCTTACTGTTAAGTACAGTGCTTGCCTAGTCCTGGGTTCAATCTCCAGCACTGCAAACTCAAAACAGAAATATAAGAGACAGAATTCTCAGGATTAAACTAATGCAATCATTAGTGTATTCTCTGTAATATTCTTTAGACAATAATAAAAAGTGTTAGTAGAAAATGTGTCAATGAAAATGTGAGGGGGACAAGAAAATGACAGCCACAACTTGCTTTGCTTTGGTGTCTAAAGAAATATTACTTTGCCAGAATCACTTCTCAGGGTATTAGTCTCACCTCCATCAAGAGAAAATGGAGGCTGAGATGTATGTTAGTCACAAGGCACCTGCCATATGCTCAAGTCCCTGTGTTAAATTCCCAGCATGCTATCCCCCAAAAAGGAGGGTAGATGAACTGCGAAAAGAACAAAATGACTCTTCATCTCTAAATACAAATGATGTAAAATTTTTATAAACATTAATTATGATAGTTTATGTTGTGTCTAACAAAACTGAGGTCATATAACCCATTATTTGTAATTGTTTAGAAAAATTACTTTTCCTTATAGTCACCAAATTACAGATAAACAAACTGCACCTTAATTAAGCAAATAAAACCTCTTATCCCTTGAAACACTAAACCAGCTTCTTTCCCTGACTCAAACTAGATAATTTTAAAAAGATAACACTCGATGTCACCTACTATAAATCTTACCACATTTAAGAGCATCTACCTATTAATTAACAAGCTCTCATTAATTTACTTCAAAGTATAATTAGAAAAAGAACTACTCAATATAATTACTATTATATATAAGCTTCTTTGAAAATTCTTACCTCTCAAACAGATAAAATTTTCCAATATAATTTTGTTCAATTATCAAATCCATGCTTCAAGAATACTATAAAAAGCATTACATTTAATACCATCCTGTTAAGTTGTGATATATATTAATTTCTGGAGTAAAAATAGACTAAAGAAGATACATTAGGATCTAGAACTTACACTTATAATCTTCAAATTAACTTTTTTCACTTTTATAAAAGGGAAAGTTTCAAGGGCCGGGGATCTAGCTCAGTGGTTCCGCCGCCTGCCTCACAAGCACAAGGACCCAAGTTTGATCTCCAGTAACAAAAAAAGAAAAAAAAAAGGGAAAGTTTCCTAGGTGCTAAATTCTGGAACAGTGAAAGAGAAATGCCATATATTTGACATGCAAAATTTATAGCTGTTCTTTAAGCTAGGAGAACACTGTTGCACTCACAGGTGTGCTCTAAATAATCACAAAGCAATAAATGGTGGACATTCTTAGGGTATTAATACAACTGACACAGATTTAAAATGTTACCTGTCTGTTAGTCCATAAGCCAGATCAAGCATATCATTCTCCTCGTCAGTGACTGCCTCTAACTTCTCATATACATGATCTTCAAAGATGAGGTGGCAGGTAGAACAAGCCAAGGTTCCCTCACAGGCACCTGCAAAAAGCAGCAAACACTGAACATACTCCGTTGCATTTCCACAGTCAAAACCTAAAGTTAAAATGCTGCTAAAATTTAGAATTAGCAGTAACACAATAAATGAAAGAACTGGGGCTGGGGATTTAGCTCAGTGGTTCCACAGCCTGCCTCACAAGTCCAAGGTCCTGAGTTCAATCCCCAGTACCAAAAACTAATAGATATATAAATAAATGAAAGAACTTTAATAATGAATTAGGTATAGCTCCCCCCCACCCACACACAGTATTTCAAATCACTCGCACAGTATTTCACAAAGTTTCTGGACTAGCTTCTATGAAAACAAAACATGAAACATGCGGTCCTGATCCCAAAGGGCTTATAATTTTATAAGCTGGAACATGATACAAAAAAAGTACATTTTTAATATACATAATTTATTTAACAGCCATGCAAGTTATTCACCTTTCCTGGAGAGTTTGACACAATTTATGAAGACTTGTGCTAAATGAGGAACTAGAAAGCAACTAAATCTATATACCCAAATAAAGTTAAATAGTCTTTCCTCTCAATCTTCATTATCATCACCAGGGAAGGATTTAAAGAAGTCATTTTAGTAGTCACCTTGATTTTAAATAATGAGCTAATAATATTTCTCCTGTTCCATTTTTAAGTCATCAACAGTTATTTATTGAGTACCTCTTATGTACCAGACACTGAAAGTCACCTTGTCCAACCAGCTTGTGATGGAATATTCTTCTGCAATATCCCTCTCCCAGGTCACCCAGTATTTGCTTAGAAATCTCTAGATAAAGAAACCTGTATTCTACAAGTTGCCAATTTCATTCGCCTGACTTCCACCATGCTAGAATGTGCCACTGTAACCTTCACATACTGCTCAGCTCTGTATTTTGTGGAACTGAACCTAAGCAATAACTTTGTCATATTTGAGGCTATACATCTTCTCCAGTGAGAATACCCAACTCCTTCAAATTTTTCTCATACAATTCAGTTCCAAATTCATTTCCTGAGGCTAGGTGGGCTTTTCTTCAGATAGGGCATCATTATATTAGATACCAAATACATAGTAGTACTAGAAGGAAAGGGACAATTGGTCATTTAAAAGCTACAATACAATTCTAAAGACTAGAGCACTAGGAATAACTTCAGTTTCAGTTGCATTCCCTTTTGGTCAATAATACTGCATATAAAATATGTAACAGAATTGTTAACAATAACTAATAACCTTGATGTGCCTCTAAATGAATCATTTTAGTAAGTTATTCCTTTCTCATAATTTCAACCCTTGTTATTCATATTTTATCTTTAAAAAGTGAAGAAAAAAGAGAGGTTTCCCTAAATCTTTTTTTTTTTTTTTTTGATACCAGGGATCGAACTCAGGACCTTGCACTTTGCCAGGGAGGCAGCAGAACCACTGAGCTAAATCTCGGGCCTAAATCTTCTTTACTAAATCTAATTCAAAGCTGTAAAAGGGTCACAAGAGACAGAGACCATCTAGTCAAGTACAGGAATTAGGAACATGCTCTGGGGCTAGACTCCCTGGCTTCAACTATAGGTTCTCTGTTTATTAATCATGTCACACTGGACCACTGTACCCTTCCTGCTCCAGTTTCCTCAACAGTAAACCGTATCAAGCTTGCATGGTATGTGCAAGAATTACCTATGAGTATGCACTTACATATGTTCACATACGTACTGACGACCAAGACTGGTAGGTAATTAACACTACATAAGTGTTGGTAATTATCAAATATTTGGAAATTATAAGAAATCTTAGAGTAATTCAAATTTCTTTTTACACATAAAAAATTTAACCCAGAAAGTTAAAGAAATGGATTAAGATCACACAACTAGCTACAATAAGTTATGATTTGGGTTAAAGTTTCCAAATGAAGACTACTTGACATACAATGATCTGAGTCACCTTATTAAATATATATACACATACCTAAGTATGTTCATATATTTATTATAATTATATCCTGATTATAGCAAGTTGCTTAGTTTCATATTTTTCTGTAAACATGAAATACTTCACACAAAAAAAGGTAAACAGACATATGTACTTAAAAGAGCAAGGGGTCTTCTTTACAGCAGTGAAAAGAGAACAGATGCTGCGGGGTCTTGAGGTCTGGGCTCTAGCTGAACAAACCCCAACACAATTAGCTGTGTCATGGAGGAGTCTCAAGGCTCAGTCTTCTCACCTGCATAATAAAAGAGTGAGGCAGGTGATCTCTAAAGTCCTAATGGAACTGGTATCTTATGACATCACAAAAAGGAGTTATAATTCTTAATGGATTTTCCCACTAGTATTTGAGAAGTATCTACTTGTCTTGATTTATATTTCCATCTCACCGATACCCAATCCAGACAAACTCCAAACTAAAATGGTAAATCCCCCTGGAGATAACACAGAAAGAAAAAAATCAGATAATCCGGTGTCTCCCCCACAATAAAAAAGGTAAGTCTAACAGTGCTTACAAAATATTCCTAGTTAAACAAGTCCTAAGAATCATATGCCACATGCAACAAAAGATTCAAGGAAAATAAAATTCACAATCCAGGGCACGGGTACTGCCAAGGTGGATAGTGGCCCTCTACATAAGCAGCTTGAACTTGTCCTATAAGCCCATTATTATCCACCTTGTTCCTTAACACATTGGTGGGTAACTCACACACTCAAGGAAGTCTTTCACACCTAGTTGCCACGGAAGTAATACTAGCAATGAGGTTATGAACAACCATCTCTCCATTCCTCTTTTCCTGGATCCAGCCCTAAGAACAATGGTGGCTGTGAACAGGTGCTATAAGTTTTGGAAAGTGAAGAAAAGGTTTAAGCAGGAAAGTGACATGGCATACTCCATTTTGGATAGATTCAAGAGGAACAACAGACAAACAAAAGCCATGGATTTCACCAAAGGAGAATGGAATAAATTGGACAAGTAAGGGTAAGGACAGTCAAGGAGCAATCTCTCCTAGAGAAGGGGCGTTAAAGTGAGCATGGTTGCTAAGGTAGAGAATCAAAAATGTGTAATGCCCGAAAAGCCTAGGGATGAAAAATGTACATACAATGTATACCTTGGAATGGAGAAAAGGGGTTCATGTGCCAATATACCGTACTAAAAACCTTAGGATATTCATTTCTGTACCACCTGGCTGGATGAAAGGAAGAATTAACATCCCTTTTACCACCCACTGTGGACTTTATATGCCCATCCAGTCTCTTCCCCAGAAAATTACAATTATTTTAACCTTCTCTTATAGGTCTTACTTTTATTTTCTAAAAATTTTCACTCATTTCATCATTCTCAGGAAATCTGCCAATAGTTCCACATCTTGCTCAGAGTTGAAGAGAGTATTCTAGTTGAGAATATGACAAAAGTTAAATATGTATAGGAGATTAGCTTTTAATTCCTATATGCTAAATTCCTATCGTACATTCTAGTCCCATATTTATTCTTTAAACTAATGCACTGTAGTAGAGACCTCCTCATGGGACAAAATACCTAACACCCAACCTTAGGAAGAAAGGTATTATTTTGGCTCATGATTTCCGAGGGTTCAGTCCATGGTAAATTGGCTCCAATGCAGATCTAACACGGTGGAAGAGCATAGTAGAGGAAAGCTGCTCAACTTATGGCAGCCAGGAATTAAGGAACACAGGAAGAGCTTAAGAGATAATCCCTCTTAAGGGATACTGCAAGGAACCACCTCCTCCAGCTGGGCCCTACTTCCTAACAGCACACTGAGCTATAAACTCACCAAAAGGTTTATCCACTGATGAATTTAGCATCCCTAAGATCCAATCACCTTCTGACCTACCTCGGAACATGAGCCTTTTGGGGAATATTTTAGATCTAAATCATAATATTATGTTCATGATTCCTCCTTCCTTTACAGTCCCTTTCAAAAGTTTTCTGACACAAAAGTTGCCAACAAATTAACCTTTTCTGATACACTAGCTAGAAATTCTCATAAAACTGTAAGCCTCGAAATCAGCTCAGCACAAACCCTAAACCAGAGAAACATAATGGTCTGATAGTGTTTTAAGTATCACTGAAGATCAAATCTACAGCATAGATTTACAAGACCCCATGCAAAGCACTTACTGGAAGAAATACTCAATCCTCCAAAACTCCATAATAAAACAACAACCTTAATAGTTTTTTGGACTTTTGAGATTTGACTTACACATTTTATTTTTTAAATGGAAGGATTTTAGAGAGTAGAGACATGCATCCAAAAAAAGTAAAAGGAAAAACAACTTTCTAAATAAAATGAATATTTGGGTATAAGAAGAACCACAACTGTTAGAACAAGAGGCTACCTTTTTTTTTTGGTACCGGGGATTGAACTTGGGTCCTTGCACTTGCAAGGCAGGCCACCGAACCACTGAGCTAAATCCCCGGCCTATCTACCTCTTGTTATGCCCCTTGTGTTCTTTTTTTTTCCATTTCCTTTTCTATATGTCTCTTCTTTCTTTGGCCTTAAAACATTGGCCAAGACTTTCATTGTGATTTTAAATAGGAGTGATAAGAATAGATACCTTTTGTATATGGATAAAAGAACATAAAGTAATCACGTTTTAGGGAGGGCAGGGACAAGGGGAAAAATGAGAACCAAGACCTGTCGTGTAAAGGTACAAGATCCCAATGATAAATGTAACTGTTCTGTATACCTAAAATGTACCAATAAATTCAATGAGAGAAAAAAAAAGTAATCACATTTCATGAGGGATGCATTCTCAAGAGATGTTGGAAAATACAGAAGTATCATATGGCAAAAAAATAAAATAAAATAAAGTTACTTTCTCAGCTGGAGGCACTGGCCCACATCTACAATCCCAGCTGCTTAAGAGGTTGAGGCATGAAGAACACAAATTCAAGGTCAACCTTGGCAATACAGCAAGAACACATCTCAAAACAAAACAAAGTTACTTTCTGAGCTTACAGTTCATAAGTCTATGTTCTTATTTGTTTAAAAATATATAAACAAACATT